CACCTACTTGCAATCCTTGTTTTTGTTTTTTTTTGTTTAAAGAGCTATAGATGCATTGAGTGTCTCTTCACGCACAGTGACTCGTGTTGTGAAACTGATTCTAGCACCTACTCAAAACAAACTAGTAAGAAAAGGGAAAAAGGAAAAATAAAAAGAAAAAAGATAAAAACCAAGATTGCAGGAAGTTCTCTGAATATTCCACACAGTCCTGTATTTTCAATAGGCTTCTGAATACTCATGCAGGGAGACCCACACCAGTCTTGAGAAATCTTCTCTACAAATGAACACTATGCTGATAAGTCTCTACTTGTTGGGTGGTTGCTTCTGTTTTAAATATATAAAGAAATCTTTATAAGATATTCTTTTCCTTTTGTAGCTCTTCTTGTTATGTAAAAATGTTCCAACTCCTTCCCCAGGCCTGGAGTTTCCACAGCCAACGTTCCAAATAAATAATTTATTACAACTGTTTGTCGCCTTCTTTCTTCAGTCGACTGCAAGAGAAAGGAAACTCGTTTTGAACACAACCAAGGAGGTGCCACACGTTTCACACACAGCTCTGCCTTCCTGCTCACCTCACCCAGGTGCCCTGAAGGGAGCAGAGGCTGCAGCAGCACTTGGCAGCTCTCAGCACAAAGCTGCTAACGCTGCCTGAGCAGGAGGAAGGGATGACCTTTGGCTCCCCGAGGTGCTCCTTACACATGAGCAAGATCAGCAGTGCCAGCTCATCAAGCCTCAGCCTTATCTGCAGCTGCAGATGTGCCAGGCAGCTCCAGGCAGGTTGGCTGCCCCTGTGGCACGAGGCCAGCAGGGAGGGAAAGGCAATCAGAGCAAAGCAGTGCAGGGCAGGAGTTTAATATGCTGCTTCCTGTAGATCCTGGCTGCCCATGGACACATGGAGTGACCCCTGGGAGGTGCTGGGGGCTTTTCCTCCTTAGCTGGTGCTGTCAGTGGTCATGGCCAAGCAGGAACTGCAGTGGTGTCACACAAGGTAGGGCAGAGAACTCTGCTGGCAACACCACACAGCAGTGTGGGGAGAAACAGCTCACACAATTCACAGGATACACAGAGCTGGAAGGGATCCTTGAGGATCATCTGGTCCAACTCCTGCCCTGCCCAGGACATCCCCAGTAATCACAACACATGCCTGAGGAGCATTGTCCAAACACCACCTGAATTCTGTCAGGCTTGGGGCTGGGACAACTTCCCTGGGGAGCTGCTCCAGTGAACCTCAGCTGATAATGCAGGATCTGTATTACTCACACACTTCAACTTCCTATTGTCCTTAGTCATTTCCGAGAATTTAGTGAATTCCTCCTCTCTTCCCCTTCATAAAGCTTTCCCCACCCTCCCCCACTGTTCTCAAGGGAGAAAAAGAGAGATGGAAGCAGCAATTGCAGTGGTATCCCCATAAAAACCTCAATCAGAGGGAATTCTGCACTGTTAAGATTCAACTAGTCTAACCCTGTGCCAGCCTGGACCTCATTTCCAATCTGCCCAAATTAGGTCTCAGTAACTGTGACTGCATCAGGGCAGTGACTCAGCACAGAGCGAGACAGAAACTCAGAGGAAAACCAGATGGAATGTGCAGAAATACGAAGCTCCCACATTTCAAAAAGCCTCCATTGCACCTCTCACCTGTAATAATCTTCCTGACTGGGTAGATGCCCACCATGCATGTGAGGATGGCCGTGCAACCACTGCTGCTCCATTGCCAGTCTTTGCAGCTCTGCGGACTGGGCGTGCATGGCCTGCAGCTGGTGAGCTGCTGACATGGGAGGTGGAATGGCACCAGGCAGATCCCGTGGGTAAGGAGTACCTAAAAGACACATCCCACGTTTAGACACTTGCTAGAAGTTCTGCAGACAGTTGTGAACCAACCAACCAACAGCTCAATTCCTCCCCCCTCCAGGAAATGCTGCAATTTGTAAGGAAATGTGACATGTCAGATTGAAGTGAAGGATCTTAAGATGCTCTCACCAAAGACTGGATGTCGGAGCATTTCATGCTCGTGAGGTGGCTGTCCTAGCAATGGGTTGGGGATGGTCCCAGGTGGGTAGGGAAAACGTGCCAAGTGGGGTCCAGCTGCTAAAGGATCCACCAGTGGGTGAACAGGTCCTGCTGAGCCTAGGAAAGAAGGAAGAAAGCATCAATCAGCTTGGGATTGCAGAGGAACTACAAGGAAAAGGACACAACACAGCTAACACAATTCTCCCTCAGCTGGTACCTGGTCCAAGGCAGAAATGTGGGGTCATTTACCCTCTACTCATCTCCAGCCTAAAGGTTAGAACAGCCTTGACCACCAATGGAGCTACTGTGAAACAAGAACTACCTGGAGACACTCAAGAGCCACAAACTGTATTTGAACCTAGCACACAAGAACAAAACCAAATTACCTTCCAAATATACAGAAAGACTTGGCAGTGAAATACTTGGCTCTGTCTGCACCAGTTTCTCACTAGACTGAGAGGGACAATGGACAAACCATATCTTTGTGCAGAACAAGTAACTGAGGAGTATCTAGACTTACCTGCACACAGGTGGTCACTGACTTACCTACCAGAATCCTTGTATAGACACCATCTATGCCAAATTTCTTCTGCCATCAGTGGGTTATGCAAACCTGCCTCCAACTGAGCCAGTTAGTGATTCCTGCAGTCACCCCAGAGCTCAGAAACTTAGGAAAGCTGATACTCAGCACTATCATGTCTTATCTGCAATCCCCCAGACCTTTAGCATCTCACGAGACCCTGCTGTTTCCTTGCTGTACAATCTGACCTCTGCAAGAGCACTCAACATCCCTCCAAACTCCCAAAAGCAGCATCCCAGCACGTCTGACGCACACTGCTCCAAGGCAAAGCACACCTGCACAAACACTACACTGGTAGCCAGATGCACCAGAACCTGAACTTTTAAGTATTTGGACTTTTTTTGCCCCTTATTTGGCAGCTACGCACCTAGAGCCTGGCATGTTGCCTCCAGTCTGGCACCAGAAAACCTGCAAAATTCTTGGTGCCTCATCTTCCAGACATCTAGAGGAGTAACTACGTAGCTTGCTTTAGAAGTGAGCAAAGCATCAACTAATTTTTGAGACTATTAAATATTTTTGGGGAAAAAAATCCAGACATAAGAACATACTGCAGATACCAAGATGCCAATGCATAAATTTAGGTGGTTCTTTTAGCTCAACTAATGCCAGATGGTTAACATGTTTAATGGCTAAGGAGATGAAGTCTTTCTCTCCCGATTCCTTCTTTCAGTTCCTGTATCAAAACACCATCTCCAGCTCCTTCCCAGTTGTGACTCCTAACAACACCCATGAGCATTAGGAGTGTTACCATTTCCATGACATCTCTCTAGGGAATTCCCTTCTCCTGTACACCAGGCACCACTGTGAGGTGATGCTCTATGACACCTGTACTCAAAAACCAAACCCCGAAACAACCACAAACCAGCAAACCTTTCACAGCAACCTCACTGGAGATCACTGTGGTGTTATCATCACTTGCACTGATGAAGGTTTAGGGGTTACAGCAGTGACAGGTTAATGGTTGGACTTGATGATCTTGAGGTCTCTTCCAACCTTGATGATTCTATGATTCTACACTGGTTTGCTCCCACAAAAATAACTGTCTGCATTTCAGCTGTCACAACCTTCCACTGTACAGAATCACATCATGGACAAGAATGGATTTTGCTCTCTGAATTCCAAGGTCATCGGTTGACTAACGCCAACAGCTCAGAGAGAGATCCCCTAGGGAACTTGCCCGTGCTCACCTTGATGTAAGGGATCCTGCTGGTGTAGGTGTAGATGTGAGTGTATGTGTGAGTGTTGGTGGTGGTGAGGTGTGACGTTGAACATCTGCAGCCGTGCCAGGGGGTCGTTGGTCAGCGAGGCCATGCGCTCGGCGTGGATCCGCTCCGCCGCCAGCCTGTCGGGG